GATGTGCTTGTTCCTAAAGAAGAACATAATTGTGGATGGATCATACAACTCATACATTGTATTAAAATCAGGCACCTCAGTTATATCAACCAAGTATAACACAGCAAAGTTCTTTATTGTCTCAGCAACTGATGCTAACACTTCATCCATCTGCAAACATGTAGGCAAATGGATAATCAGAAGAATAAAGGACTAAAAAAGGAGCCAACTCTAATAAGATCTCACATCATTGCAGAAAACCCAAAGCAACAAACAAGATAATGAATAGAGCAACTGAAAAGTCCACAAACCACAAAAATGGACTACCCAAAGCATTTCCTAAGACTGAATAAATGCAGGAAGCCTAAGCAGCTAAGACACATCTTACACCATTAGGACACAACCTCCACCTGTGATTTCAAAAAAAAAAAAAACTAGATTATTTGAATGTTTTTGCTGTAAGTCTTGGAGATCCCATCAATGACAGAAGGTCTGGGACAGGGGAACATAGTGAGGCACACAAAAGTCAGCTGAATTGCTTGCCCTGTACTTAAAGTTAAATTTGCCTTCCTACTGTTTTAGACAATTTGAAAGCAGTTCCAGAAAAAAAAAAGGAAAAAGGATAATTGAAAAGATAGAGAAAGCAGCTCCAAATTCCTGATTGCCCACCAGCTGATTGTAAGCGCCGCTCAAAAACCAAGCAAGCAAGTCAGACTGATCTCTGACTTTTGCAAACTGCCAGGGACAGAGATCTTTAAAGAGGACAGGGGGCAAGGAGTAGAGACTGTAGATATGAATGACCCAAAGGAGAAGAGTATTAAAATAAATACAAGAAGAAACTAGTAATGATTACATTAAAAAAATTAAGCATAATATACCATACTACTGTTGAGTCTGTTGACCGATTTGTTAGGAAGAAGATACTACATGCTACGAGTCAAATAGACTAGAGCTCATAAGTTATCTTAAATATACTAAAAAAGGAATAATTAAAAAACTGTATTTAGCACCATAATAATGACACAGCAAGAATTTGATTTAAATAAGAAACTCGAAGAACAATGAAAATCACGACTCAATTATTTATCAATTGAGAATAACATTTTAAAAGCATATTTAATAGTTTAATCAATGCTCACTTATAATTGGTGTAATAGTTTTTCTGCATCTGAATCAACTTATGATGGGTATATTTGACATCATCATTCTATTAATTTTCCTGTGACAATAGTGATTATTATACTATTTTCTGTTAGACAAAAAGCAAATAGTTTTGAAACACTTCATAATCTTTAAAACTTGTGCATAATCCTATACACAATTGATATCAGAGATGGGAAGTGACATCCTCAACCACGACTTTGAACCACAGCATGTATTATTGCACTAACCAGGCGGTGCAGTGTCAGCAAATCTCACTCTAAGCATCAAGTACTAGCAAACTAGATTAGGACTCTTCAGAAATAATCTAACCTGAACTACTCATCAATGGGCAACTAAAATTTGATGGGATTCAACACGAAATATGTATGCACTGCTGTGGCATCATATATATGAAAACTCAAAATATGTATGCACTGCTATGACATCATATATATGAAAACTAACCAAAACATGAAAAAACCAGGGGCAGGAAAAAAAAACAGAGTTGACACCATAGCACTGCTATAGTCTACCACCGCAGTCAACTCATCATGACTCTCAACATGACACGTAAAATACAGCATACCACACATACAAAGACCAAAGACCATCCTCCCTGCTGCCATGATCAATAGCTCATAACTCTGTTAGCCCGAAAAAGAAAACATCTAAAGTGACTGTTCATTTAAGCTAACTAGTAGTAAACTAAGACTAATAATTTGAGGGAACCAGTGCAACTTCTATTGAGACTAACATAGCCAGTTTCAGCCAACCTCAGCTTTGACTTCTAATGACATTTGGAAAATACCATAAGAGGGCATTAGTCTAATTGGCCTCATTTTTCACCAGAATCCTTTTTGGCAACCATTTACAACTATTATGTTCCTTCTCTTTGAACTATTTAAAACTTTTAATCAACCAACAATTGCAGTGCAAAAGAAAACATTAAAATTCAAAGCAGAACGGTAAAAGAAATGGAAACAATTCCCTCATCCCAAAGTTTAATCAACTAGAACTAGGACTTTTCACAAGTTAGTAATTCTTTTTCTGCTTAAAGACAAGTCATAGGCCCCTTAATATTCAAAAAACTTTCAGATAAACCACTGTAAACTGGAAAATGCACAGAAAGACAGAATTAATTGAAGGAAATTCAGGAGGATGCCTTACCTGCATACAGGTCTCATCCCAATCATGTCCGAACCTGATGAGAACAAGTCGTTCCTCTTCAGCAAGGATAGCCTGGTCAACAGCCCAGCCGGAATGAAGGTGAGGCAGAAGGTATGACATCTCTTTTCTTCTCTGTGACAAGAAAGGGAATGTAGGAAAAAATGCTTAAACCGCAAACAATCCTCTGTGAAGCTACCATATTCTTAACAAAACATCCAAACACTATTGAGGTACGGAGGACAAGAAATCATTGGAATTCATGTAAGAAGAAACAACACAAGATGATAATCTCCTCAATGAAACAGCAATCTGCATAAATCAAATCTCTATAACAGGTATAATCAATCCTGTAATCTAGACCAAAAAAAATAAAACATTTTTAAAGATTTCCAGCAACATTAATAGACTGTCTATACATATCTTAGTCGTGAAAAGGTAGAAAAGACTTCCGAAATTAAAATACAACAAATTTGAGGGAATCTTTAAGTTTTGGTCTCTACTTTATTTCCGAAATCAAGACCCAATTGTTAGTTCGATTGTTACATTGCACCAACAAATTCGAAGCCCTGATTATAGATAAACCCTAAAAGTAGCATCAATCTTAAACTTTTACAAGAGAAGTTACAGACTCAAAACCATGAAACACAAACCTGCTGCGGCGGCGGCGGCTGCGGCCTTAAACCTGGACGGCGGCGGCCTTAAACCTGGAGCTTTAGCTGGCGGGGCGTTGGAAATGGATGACGGCCAGCTGCCGGAATTGGGATATGGTGGCTGTCACGCGTGGAGAGTAAGCGAGTGATGTATTATTTTGGTATTTGTAGATTTCCAACAATGCCCAATTGACACTTCGCGGTTTTTCTTTCTTGCTTTAACTTTTATTTTAATAGCCCGTGTAAATTGAAGTTTAGGAAATTCTATCGTTCCTTTTAGGTGCGCTATTGATAAGATTAAATTTATCATTAGATATAGAATAAAAGTTATTAAGTTTCAAATTATTTCAAGAATTTAAATTACTAAATGATATGATAAGATATAAGTGAGTTAGAATCGTGGGTATCATATTCAAAAGGGACGGTAGCATTTTCCTAAAGTTTATAGGGGTTTTTATATTAAAAAAAATACACCATAGCTATTAATACTAGTGTTTAAGGCATACTCTAATGTGTGTACAATTAACAAAAAATATATTTATCACAATTATCTCTTTAAAAAGTTTTATTTATGGATTTTATGGGTCATATTCTATTATAGTGTAGATAATCGTACACGAAACAAAAATGATCGGAGTAGAGAAGAATATGTGGAAGTTGGAAGTTAGCCCGAGGAAGCTGTAGTTAGTTGATTATTGAATAGATAATTGTCTTCTGATTCAAATATTTATTTGCAATTGAGATAAATTTGCCCTTATAATTAAGGGTATATTATGAATTTTAATGAATGACACCATATGTTTAAATGTTCTCTAATGACTTTCATCATTTTTATGATTCTGAGCATTTTGCACGAAATTTGTTTTGCAGTTGAAACTTCAAATAACTGCCTCCAGATGCATTAAGAAAATGGGAAAAGTAATCTTGAGAAAAGTATTAGTTAATCAAGCTGGTACTCAACCATTCGTAACCAGAAGCTTCAAAAATCTGTGAGTCATAACTCTTTTCTTTTATTTTGTCAAGATTTCAAGAAGAAAAGAGAACCTTCAATGTGTAATCAGCTGGAGGTGTCTTTTTGACCGCTGCTTGCACATCTGAAAGATTGAATAACTCAGCCTTATTAATTTTTCTGGGATAAAATATTACTCAAAAAAATTGAAAAAGGATTCATTAGAATTACTTCTAACTTCACTATTATTTCTTTCTTCATATTCATGCAATTTCTTCTAATACGGTGACACAAACACACACACACACACACAAAGTTTATTCCAAGTCGAAATGTATCTGCACCTACCAATTGAATGGGACGGATCCTTTCATTGGTTGGATATATTATTAATATATAAAATGCGGTCCACGGTCTTAATTAAATGGTAAGAACAAAGCGGGGAATAAGAAATATCAATTTGGCAAAAAAAATGCTTTTTATGCATGAAATGCTTTGCATTTAATAGAAGGAGTTGCCTCTTTTAAAAGTGACTTATTGGATTTATGGGTATTTTCACATGGTTGATTTTTTTTTTTTTTTTTTTTTGATATTTGATATCTTTAGTGAATAGAGGTAGTATGAGGCTTTGAGCTGGATTGTAGATATTTCTGCAGAAAAATGACTAATCTATGTTTTCAAACTTGGATTCTATAGATTTGGTGGCCATAATGGCATTAACGATGCAATTAGTCTAATACTGATTAAAAGGATTTCAAGTATTAATCTCTACAAAAAGTGAAATATTCCCTTCGCCCACATTAATAGTTTTGTTTTACTTTTTCATCCGTCCCAAATTATAATTCACTTGCTAATAATTTCTTTAAAATGCCCTTATTTAATCCTTTATGACTACAAAGTATGTGCGTACATTAAAGAGCTCAATTAAAAGTCCTTTATAATGGGTTTGAAAAGTTTTATATTACCATTTGCACGATATCTTATTGAATTAAAGTTGTCGGCATAGAGGAAATCCGAGGTGAGCTTGCAGTAATGACTTGTACCTTAAGGCTTAAACTGAAACAGAAGGGAAAATGCATATCAATGTTTCGGAAAAGAAAAGGAAGCATAGTTCCTTCAAGGACATCGATAAGATTGAAACGATACAGAGAAGATTAGCATGGCCTTGGGCAAAAGGATGACATGCACATATCGGGAAAGAAAAGGAAGCATAAATTAGAAACAGTCAAAGAAAACATGACATTTCGAAATAGAAATTGGGAAGCAATGCCACAGCAATTACGGTTGACTTTTAGGAATATTCCTTGAAAATCACACGAAGACCCATAAAGGTTCCTTTATTAACAGCCAAAGTCTATATAATTTTAATTCTTAATATATCATTTGGGTTTTCCCTTGTTATGAGTTATGCCCCCCACCCCCACCCCAAGAAAAAAAAAATTATGTATAAGTTCTAATGGTTTGGAGAACTAACAATATGTAAATATCCTTTCCATTGCTTTTTATTTCTGTTCAGAATATTACATCATTTAAAGTATAGAATCAATTTTTGCATAATATTTGTCTTTAAGTACAATTCATTAATTGAAATTTTAAAATGGATAAAAGAACTATTCATTAACAGAAATAATATTCTCAATATCAATAAGAAGTTCTTTTTTTTTTTTTGTTTTCTTTGATTTCGGAATTATAACAAGCATTCAGTGTGAAAGACGTTAACATAAATTCAGACTTAATTTACATAGGTCTTGACTGTATGAAAAGAATACTTATGGGTCTTTGTGTGTTTTCACAAATGTTTGCGAAAGTCAATGGTAATTGCTGCAACTTTGCTTCCCAAGCGTCTTGCTTTCTTTGACTTTTGTTAATGCGTTTTTCCATTGCTATTCTTGTTTAGTTTGTAAAATTCATAAATAAAATCATATTCTATGGTAACATTTAGTTTAATACAATCTTATTTTTTTTGGTTGCCCACCTGGTATCCGAAACTTTGCCCCGACTAATCCGGACCCGACCCGCGTCGCGCACCTGACTATGGTGAGTGAGTCTCCCAACAGGGATGTCTGCGTACACTAGGACTCGAACACGAGACCTGGTTAAGCGAATCCGAGCCGCTTACCACTCGGACCAACCCTGTTGGTTAATAATACAATCTTATGCAATTGCTAATCTTATACTTCTACGGTTCTACCTCGGTATAATACGGATTTTCCAGCGTTGAACAAATTGTAAAGTTAATACCTTAATGGCCAAAAGGCTGTAGTAGTCAAGTTTAAAAACATAGATTATTCATTAATATCAGTGTCATAAGGGTATTATCAAAGCCTCAAACTACCTCTATTTCAATAAGGTAGGTTGATGCAAAATGATATTTTTGTCAGTTTTTTTTTTTTTTGGAACAATAAAGTATTCTCGTACTAAATGATTTTATACCAGTGCCATTGTTATTACTGCTTCGAATCAAATTCATGAATTTGTTGCTCAGTCCTAAGACAATAAGTTTAACTACTACGACTACTAAAATAGAAGGAAATTGGTCACTGAAATCCCAACTTTCCATACCCAAATAAATGAAAGCGGCTTTACCCAAACAAAAGATTAAGCTTTTGTTGAATTTTTTGGATGGAACAGGATTGGAGGTTAATGGTTGTAGTAGTGATAGCGGCTTTACTGTTGTGGCGATCATGATGATCAAAAATCAAATATTTTGTAGTTGGGAACGGGAAAAGGAAAAAAAAAAGGTTTGTCATCGGGCCTCGAGGATTTAGTTGAAGTAATGACTTTAATATAAAGAAGGGCAAAGTTGTGTCATGAAGTGAAATTTGCTCTAGCAGTATCATCTGCCTTATTTACTTGTTCTTATTGTGGTCAAGGAGGCCCTAGTTTAATTTACTACCTAAGGTTAAAATTTCAGAATTTAGAAATCACGGGTTCCATTTCCACTTTCCATTCTCGATTTCCGTACTTCCTAAATTCGCATGAATCTTCAGTTCCAAATCCTATCTCATTCTTTCTTATCATGCCGAGTGTTCTTTAATAAACCAATTATAAAATTACTCGGACCACATTGAGTTAACCGACTAGCCAATCGAGTAACCAAGTAGAGAAACAAAATCTATATAACTAGAACCTATTAACATAAAAACCCTCTTCCCCTGCTCTTAAAAGATAAAAAGAAAAGAGTCTGCCAGTCTCAATGCTCATCACTCTAAAACTTTAGATAGTAGAGATTGCCCAAGGCATATTATTATATAGTTGGGCATCGATATTTTAATTTAAAACTTTATAGAAAGTCACATACATCTTGTAGAGAGGCAATATAAAATATATCTAACCACCATTGTCCAAATACTTATTTAAATCCAATTTCGTGTAGGTTCCTTCAATCAAAACTCGCATAGAGCCTCCTTGGCCCCAGAGATACCAGTTTGTTTAACCATCAATGTCAAACCGTAGAGTAGGTGGATACTCACAAGCATATCCATAAATTAGACTAGGGACCTTAGCTGGTGAACAAGAAAATGGGGCTTTTTCCATCACAAAATCCACCATAAATACATAACCAACAATATTGCAAAGTTATATCATATATGGTGCGTGTATACGATTCGTTGAAGATATCAAACATAAAAAAAAAGAAAAGAAAAGAAAAGAAAACAATCATGTGAAAATAACCAGTAAATACTGTGATTCTATCCTCTTAAAGAGACAAGTCCCACCAACCAAAGGATCCGTATCATTCGATTGGTAGGTGCAGGTTCATTTCAACTTGGAATAAATTAGTCATATATATATATATGAGTTGAATTTGGGATCTTACTTAGAAATTGTCGGCATGGACTTCAACACGCCATCCCTGGGTGCATTTTAAGAAGAGGAGAGGTCTATCCATTCACAGAGAAAAGAAGAAGAGTTTATCTGATTATACATCTTCACCAAGAATGGAAAAGTTTCAAAAGCAACTGAGCATTACAATGGGGGAGGAGAAGTCGTGCAATAGTATAGGATCAGCGGTTCACGAGTCTGGTACGTGGTTGGTTTTTGTGCTTTTCTTTGTAAAGTTTTTGCATAATTTTTTGTCTGTTTCATAAACTATGTTCAATATTCTCTTTGCTCTTTCAAATGTTTAGTTCAACTTTATGAAGTTACTGAAGTTGCAGCACATTTTTTGATGCTAAAAATCCTTATATGTATAAGACACCCTAGCTGAAAAAGGTTAAATTGTTGGTTGAAATAAGTAGACTCCTATCTTTTGATCTCTATTCTTTCTTAAAAATGATCATTCATGTCAGTTTTAGAAGATGCTAATTAAAAGTAAAAATACAAAAGCCTCATCAAGTTGCATGCTCGTATGAGTTCAAACTAGATTGGATAACTTGACTGAATCTTAATAATCACCCTTCCTTGATCTGAGCTCGCCAAATTTTGAATCCAATTTGAGTTCTTGGCACAAATTGAGCTTGAACTATTCTTTAAGGTCTCAGATTATTAAAAGTGTCATCTTACAGGTGAAATGAATATATGAAGTTGCATTGTTGGGCTTCTTATCTTGTCTAGAGTCGATAGTGCACAACCAGGCAGGTTCTCCATTTGATCAAGAAATTAGGGGGAAATTTACATGAAACCACCAACACAGAAAATAACAAAAACAATCAAACAAGGGATGACAAAAAAAAAAGACTTTGACTTTGAATTAGTTGCCTAGGCCACCAGGCTCATAGAGATGGGATTTGAAACTCCCTCCCCTTTTCCTGTCTCTCTCTCCTGTATAACCCTTGTACCAAAAGAATAGAATAACAAAAGAAAAATAAAAAAAGACTTTGACTTGATATCCATATTTTCGCCAAAAAAAAAGCAATATTCTGCTATATGTAACAGGATAGCTGTATGATTTTCTGATAATAAATTATGATCGAGTATATGCCCAAACTTAATATGGAAATAATCCACTATATTCATGCCACAAGAGGAATTGTATTCCTAGTCCACTCTTTAAAACGAGTCTCATATTTGGCTTCCTGTGATTTCTCGTATGATCTAAGAGACTAATCGAAGAAGGAAATACAGAGTCATGTTGAGAGTTGATGTTGACAGCCTACTACTTCAATGTTATAAGAACTTATTCTATGTATGCATGTGCTTCCCCTGGTTTTTGTCTTCGATTTGTGGGCAACCTCATGGTTCGATCAGTACTAAATGCAGGAACAAAAACCTTTTATGTTCATTAGCCTGTTTCTAGTGGTATTTTTATAGAACTTGAACGGTAGATATGCATATTATTAAAAGAGTAAATTTTATATATACTAATAGTATATATATTATTACCATTGGATTCATGACGTATGTATAGAAATTGAGTTTTAAATTCAAATTTTGTATATAATTTTCATTTATCCAAAACTGACAGCGTATACATTGTCAATATAAAAAAGATTAATCCTTATTAAAATATTTAATATAGTGTTTTAAGAGTGTTTTTAATGTGTTTTTGGTGATAATTTAAAACATGATAGTGAAATTCTTTCTCCACTCCTTTGCCACCCTCCGCTGCAACCTCTCCCTCCCTCCCTGCCCTCCTTCTCCTCACCCGCCACCTCTTTCCCCTTCACTGCGTCTGATCTTCTTCCCCCCTCCTTAACCTGCCACCCTCTCCCTCTCCATCCCCTTATTTTACTTCTCCATCTTCCCCTTCTTCTCTCCAAGCCCACCCGTGTCCCCTAATTTTTACCAAGATTGCTTGAATTTAAGACGAAAATAAAGTGAAGTAAGAAGTAATTCCAGTAAAGCTTCTTGAATCTGCACCATTTTTTCCTTTCCACAAAAATTAACAAGGTTAAGTTGAACAATTTTTTAGATGTTGTGCAAGCAGTGGTCAGAAAGACACCTCCAGCTGACTACACATTGAAGATTGACTCATTCGCTTTTCTTCTTGAAATGCTCGAGAAAACAAAAGCAAAGAGTTATAGTTCAAGGATTTTTGAAGCTTCTGGTTATGACTGGTAGAGTCGATTAACTAATCCTTTTCTCAAAGTTACTATTCCCATTTCATTTATACATCACATAATTATTTGAACTGCAATCATACGACATACTAATTTTTTATTTCTTAATTTATTTTCCGAATTTCTTGAAGGCAATCATCTCTATGTATATGTATATGGACTATTCATTTCATGTATGCTAAAAATTAAATCCATTCTATTCAAGGAAATTACATCTTTACCCACGAGGCGATGAAAAGAGAAATGGAGAGGGATACATATCTTTTTACGTTGGTATCCAAGGCAATGCTACCCTTCCTCTTGGCTGGCAGATCAATGCAAACATCAAGTTCTTTGTGTATGATCAGATTCGAGACGAGTACTTGGTATTTCAAGGTATTTTTCTTAAATTTTCTAAATTATAATGTTCTTTCACTTCCCTTATTAATTTTTTTTTTTGGTTGTGTAACATTTTGCAAACAATGTTTTAACGTATAGATGCTAGCGAAGAAGCAATAAGATTCCATGAAATGAAGAAAGAATGGGGCACTGCCCAATTGCTGGATCTCAAAATTTTTCATGATGCCACAAACGGTTTCCTTCTTCATGACAAATGTGCATTTGGGGTGGAGATTTTGGCCAAAAGATACTCCGGCAGAGGAGAGTGCTTGTCTCTGCCTGTGAACATATTCAGTACTTACACTTGGAAAGTGGTCAAATACTCAAAGACTGGAAATGTTATATACTCTGATGTTTTTGTTATGGGAAATTTAAAATGGTATGTGTATGCTTAATTTTATTTCTTTTTATTATACTGGTTAATAATCTGTTCATTTGTCACATATTCACAATTTCAAAATCAGCTTTTTTTTTTCAATTCTGATGGTTTCAATAATTCCTTCTTTTGTTTTTTGTGCTTCCTTTTTCTTTTCATCAAATTTCAGGAAGATAATGCTTTATCCGAATGGAGGCCAGAATCAAGAAGGGAAAAACATTTCCCTCTTTCTAGCGTCAGCTATTGAAGACACTAATTTCAGAATATTCGCAGAATACAAATTGTGCATAAAGAACCAGAAAAATGACAAAGATTTGGAGCGTACAAGTAAACTTATTTATGGTTTTTATTAAATTGATATATGAATTTTATTGAGTCTAGATATTAAATTTACTATAAACTTGTGTTTCATTTGGACATTTATTTTTATTTTTATTTATTTAATTTTTGTTTTTGCAGCTAATCATTTGTTCACTCATACAAAAAAGGATTGGGGTTGGTCTGCGTTTCACCCCCTGATTGACATTAAAGATCCTTTCAAGGGCTACCTATTGAAAGATACTCTAATTGTCAAAGTTGAAATCACCCGTATCTCAACTGCGAAAGATTTCTCCTCAAAATGAAAGGGCTGATCAAACCACGTCTCCTGCATAGTTGTATGTTTTTTCTTAATGGTTTGTCATTATGCACTCAATCACAAGTCAATGCTGAAATGTTCTTCTCAACATGGAATGTGTACATTGTCTTCCATGATTATCCAACTTTGTTGTTTTATTCCATGTTAGTATTTTCCAGAGATGTTTTCTTGTTTCTGTTTTTTTCTTTTTTTACTTGTTTCTGTTTCGATTATCAAATCTTTGTAATTTCCATATTTCAATTTTTCCAAAGAATGGGTGCCGAGAACAATGTAAAGAGATAAGTATTTGTTCCCCTTTGATTTTGGAGCCATAATAACTACTCTTGTTGAAAGATGTTAACTAGACAAATTAATTTATGGGTTATTATCACTTTTTCCCCTTAACGTTTGGTGCTACTATTAAATTTCTTCATTAGCGTTACTTTTTGGTCACTTTTCCCCACTACTAAACTAACTTAGTAAGTTAAAAAAACTTTAGAAGAAAGTTCCATCCTCTTATTATAATAAAAAATTTAAAGTGACCCTTCTCTTTTTTAGTAGGGATAATTGCAGAAACCTCCCCTGAGGTTTCTGACACTTGCACTGACCTCCCCTCTAGATTTAGAAATGGCATTCAACACCCCTGAACAGGAACAATTCATTGCAGAAACCTCCCCTGAGGCTTGATGTCCCATTAAAAAATTATTTGTAGAAGTGAGATAAGAAATTTATTCCAATTTTGCCCTGATCTTGCTTGACAATTAGTATTAACAAGGGAGGGGCATAGGCATTAAGGATCAAACAAGTTCAGGGGGTATAAATGCAACATATTTTTCATTTCAATATCTAGCTTGGTTTGATGAGTGTTTCGGAATTAAATGCAACTAAATTTCAAAATTACCCCTAATATAACAATTCTTATAAAACAAAAGAATTACACATACGACAAATTAACATCTCCATAATTGTAACTACAATAGTTATTAACTTTTTTGATAAAATATAAGAAAATCATAAACCATAACAAAAATTAATACTAGAAAATAAATATAGTGGCCGTATTAATAAGGAGTAAATTCCCAAAAAGAGAGAGTTTTTAAACTAACTTTCTAAAGAGTGGCATTTTTGAGTCTCTTCCCAAAGGGTGAAAAACGCATCGAAGGAAATGATTTCTTCCAAATAAAAATGCAACTTTCAAATACGTTATTTTAATTTTCATAAATTTGTTTAAATATAAAAAATTGGTTAAATAACGCATAACATACCAGCTCTTTATGGGAAACTGGCAGGTTTTGTAGTATGTTTTATATCAGCTCTTTATGGAAAACATACCAGCTCTTTATGGAAAAAATTGGTTAAATAGCGTCCAAAGTAAAACTAGTATGTTTTGTATTTAACATAAATTAAATATGTGAAAGTTAAAAAAAAAATATTGCCCATAACATACCAGCTCTTTATGGGAAACTGGCAGGTTTTATATTTAATGCGCTATTTAACCAATTTCATTGGCCTGTGGAGCTAATTAACCAATTAGCGCATTAACTAATTAGATAAACAGAAATTAGTTAATTAATTAATTAATTAATTAGATAATTAGTTAGTTAACTAGTTAAGCAGTTAATTAGTTTAACATGCAAATAGTTTGTTAGTTTCGGACAAACAACAGCTTTAGTAAATTAGTTAATTAATTAATTAGATAAACATAAATTAGTTAATTAGATAATTAATTAATTAGTTAATTAGTTAATTAGTTAATTAATTAATTAGTTAATAGTTAATTAGTTTAACTATGCAGAAATAGTTTGATTAGTTAATTAGTTAATTACGTAATTACATAAATAGAAATTAGTTAATTAGTTAATTAGATAATTAGTTAGTTAATTAGTTAAGCAGTTTATTAGTTTATTAGTTTAACATGCAAATAGTTTGTTAGTTTCGGATAGACAACAGCTTTAGTTAATTTGATAAACAGAAATTAGTTAATTAGTTAATTAGATAATTAGTTGATAGTTAATAGTTAATTAGTTAATTAGTTTAACTATGCAGAAATAGTTTGATTAGTTAATTAGATAATTAGTTAATTAGTTAATTAGATAAATAGAAATTAGTTAATTAGTTAATTAATTTAACTATGCAGAAATAGTTTGATTAGTTTAATTTGTTTAACAAATTAAACGTTGGTTTTGATGAAAGTACTCAAACCTTTCATCTGGTAAAGTCAAATACAATGGGGGTACTCTAGTAAATTCACACACTTTTACCTTTTAAATTGGTTCCAACTTTTTCTAGGGGAGGTTAATGCTGTTTCAAAATTGATAGGGGAGGTCAGTGCTAATGTCAGAAATCTCAGGGGAGGTTTCTGCAATTTTCCCTTTTTAGTATCTAGGAAAAAGTCAAAACATTAATCATTTTTTCTTGTCAATCTTATTAATATTAAAAAATATATAGAAAAGGAGAGAAGGGGGCAAAGACAGCTCAATTCTTTTTTAAAAAAATACAAATAAGAAAGAATTCAATATTGTTACCATTTTAAAACTACTTTACCTTGCTTTTTACCACCCAATTTCAATCTTAATCTAGATAATATTATATTCTTTCTTACAAAATCTAATTTTCTGTCGCCTTCTCTTCTATCTCTTTTTCTTTTCCTAGTATTAATAAGTGTGCAAAAAGAAATTTGAGAAAATCCTTTTATTTTTATATTTTTTGAACTTTTAGAATGAAAAAAAAGGAAGAATAACCGCTCCACCTTTTTTATTTTTAATTCTATATATAAAAAGGGTAAATATATTAAAAATATTTTGAACATACTGGTTAGGTTAACAATGCTCTAAAACGCCTAGAAAATAATGTTAGAGAGTAAAGCAATTGTATCACTATATTTTAATGGGATAAAGTGATAATAACAATGTGGTAATGTTAAAAAATAAGGTATTTTTATCCAAAATTTATTAACATGCTAAGTTGAATTACCTATAGAGGTTAAATGACTAAAATATAACTTTAGGGGGTAAATTAATAGTAGCGATATAAATTATGTGGATAAAGTGATAATAACCCTTAATTTATTTAAGACATTAACACAAGTCTCAATTAATTATATAAGCCCATTTGGATTGTTATTTTAAGAATTTTTGTAAAAAAATATACTTTAGCGGTTTGATGCATGTAAGGTAAAAAATATTTAAAAAATATGTTAATCGAAAACATAAAAATTTTTCTGCAAAAAACTACATCCAAACAAAGCAAGTCAATGCTAATTTTTTTTTTTTTTTTTGTCGACACAGGGGTGTCAGGGTCAATTCTTACGGGGCCCGACTAATCCCCTGCGGCCCGGGCCTTGGCGCCCCAACCCGACCCAAGCACGATAAGTGCGCGGAGGAATCCAGCAGCGCAGAAACTCAAACCTGGGCCTGGGAATTCAGCAGCAAGTCAACGCTAATTGCTGTAACTTTTTATGGGTCTTCGTGTACTTTCAAATTTCCAAAAGTCAACGCTAATTGCTGTAACTTTGCTTCTGAATTTCTTTTTGCAAGTGTCCTGTTTTCTTTGACTTTTTTCCAATGTATGTTTCTTTTTCCTTTCTAAAACATAGACGTCGGATTCTTTGGTAAAGACACTGAATAAGCTTATCGGAAATCATATTCTGCTCCGTTGGTAAATTTAATTCAAAAAAAAAAAAACATTCTCGATTTTATTAGAGTATCTCGGTGTATCTTCAACCCATCTCAAAGCCTCAAACTACCTCTATTACAGTACAGATATCAGATATGTTGATGTTAAGTAATTCTTTTGTCATTTTTTTTTCTTTTGCCAATAAAGCATTCTCCTACTAAATCATTTTATCTTTATTGTTATCATGTCATTTTTATTACCACTTCGAATCAAGTTCCTGAACATGTAACTTGGTCCCAAGACAATATTTCTGTAGGGGAAACATAACATAGAACCTACACTCATGTTTCTAACCATCATTTTCAAAGTACTCGTTTAGATCTAATCCCGTGTGCCCCTTCAATCAAAACTTGTGTTAGGCCTCCTTAGCCTTGGAGATAAGAGTGTGTATTTTTTTTTAGGTGATTAAAAGTTTGTGTGATTTCGATTCCAATCATTATCATCAACGCATCATTACATTGGAGGCAAAATTTGAACACATAATTTTTGTTGAGCAAATGATCTAACCTTACTAATTGATTCAATTTATATTCACGATATGAGTTTGTATGTATGTTGTGCATAAGTGCCTTCCAACCTTTTTCTAACGATCGACATCAAATCTTATAGTGCATGAATACTCACAAGCATATGCATAGTTAAATTAGACAAGGGATCTTTACTTAATTGGCGAAAGGAAAAAAAAAAAAACATACGGCTTCTTCCGTCACAAAAACCACCATAAATAGATAACGGATAATATTACAAAAAATGATACATTTACGATGTACAACTAATTCACTAAAGATATCAAATGTCAAAACAATAATTAATCATGTAAAAGTACCCAAAAAAAAATCTAGTGAGTCAACTTTAATGTCCTACATTTGAATGCAAAATATTTCGGTACACAAAAGATTAGAGTTGTCCAATAATTTATTCTTAAGATTCAATTGAAGACTATTGAACTCATTTTATATATCCATCCAACCTAAGGATCCGTATCATTCCATCGGTAGGTGCAGATACATTTCAACTTGGAATAAATCACGCATATATATATATATATATATATATATATATATATATATATTATATGAGTTGAATTTGGGATCTTACTTAGAAATTGGCGGCATGGACCTCAACACGCCATCCTTGAGTGCATTTTAGAAGAGAAGAGGTCTATCCATTCACAAAGAGAAGAAGAAGAAGAGTTGAGCTCATTATACATGGAAAACTTTCAAAAGCCAAGAATGGAAAGCTCTCAAAAGCCACTCAGCATTACAATGGGGCAGGAGAAGTCGTGCAAAACTATAGGTTCACCGGTTGACAACTCCGGTATGTGGTTTTCATTGTTAAGTTTTTGCATCAATTACTATGTTCTTCATAAACTATAAGTTCAATCTTCTATTTTCTCTTTCACATTGTTTTTTCCTATTCTCTTTCACACGTTTAAAGACTTTATGATGTTATTGAATTTGCAACACATTTGTTGATGCTAAATACCCTAGCTTGAAGAAGCTGATTACTTGTTGAAATGAATGGACCCCTACCATATGATCTATACCCTTTCTTGAGTATCAACTGATGTGGGATTTTGGCCCTTCTCTTTATATCACAAACGTTGAGATTTTGTTGAAATATACTTTACAGAGAGTTTAATCATCAAATGATCTAGTTTAAAGTGTGTGAATTCAAAGTTGTAGATTTTAAGTGTTCATTTGATGATACTATATTATGTGCTGGTCTTTGTATCCATGATATTGAACATAGACAGACCACTAGATGACATGTTTGAGAACTTACCATTTTTAAAGCTTATTACTGCTCTTAGCCTTTAGTGGTTTTGTTGCTTCCAATTCGTCCCACATTTTTATGAAGTAGACGCAGATAGATACGGCCATCTACAAGCTGCATATTCCTATGAGTTCAAACTAGGTACAATAATTTAATTGAATCTTAATAATTACTCAAACTTGATTTGAGCTCGTCAAATTTTTTATGCAATTTGAGTCTGTAGTACAAATCCAGCTTGAGCTATTCTTTTGTGGTCTCAACTTATTTTAAGTGTAATCTTAATGATGAACCAATTGAAATAAAAACAAGGAGTTGCATTATTGGGTTTCTTATCTCTTGTCTAGAGTCAAATAGTGCACAAGCCAGATAGGTAATCCACTTGGTCAACAAGTTAGGGGGAAAAACTCACATGAAACCACCTATTTTTTTGGAAAAAAAAAGAGGAAAAATGACATGTTTCATCCCTCACATTTTACAAAAATATTCTTTTCATCCCTCACTTTTAAAATGAAGCAAATTCATCCCTAACATTTAAAAATTAAAGCTATTACATCCCTGAACCTAATTTTCAATCTGAATCAAACCATTCAATAACCCAGTAATAAATTTCGAAAATAGAATTTATAGATCATTCGGTCAACTTCATCATATTTACATGACATTTATTAAACCAAAAAATAAAAATTATAACATAAAAGACCATTCTTTGTCTTGGAATAGTAGAGTTTTTTTTTTTGGTAAATCTTTTTATGCACCGTTAGTATATCCACTTGCAAATTTAGATGTGTATCATAAATATAAAATTTGGTGTTTAAATTAAAATTAAAATGATATGGCGGTACATAAAACCGTCAGTGTATACAATGATAATGTAGAAAAGATAAATCTTTCTTTTTTATGTTATAATTTTTTATTTTTTCTTTTAAGGTTCATTAAATTTCACATAAATATCAAGTTGAGTTAACCAAGTGATCTACCAATTACACCCCCAAAATTTGTAATCAGGTTGATTGATGGTTTGATTCAGATTGAAATTTGGGTTCAGGGATGTAATAATTTCAGTTTTTAAATGTCAAGGACGAAATTGCTTCATTTTAAAAATGAGGGACGAAAAGAATATTTTTGTGAAATGTGAAGGATGAAACCGATCATTTTCCAAAAAAAAAACCCAATAAACTAAACAGCGGAAGAAACCAAAAAAAAAAAAAAACTTTGACTTTGGATTGGATGTCTAGGCCACCAGGCTCATAAAGATGGGATCCCTCCCTATCTTACCATCTCTTCTAATACAACCCTTGTACCCAAAAAAAAAAAAAAAAACAGAAAAGGAATACCAAAAGATAAATACAAAAAATTGACTTGATATCCATATTTTCACCTTACAAGTGATGGATTCTAATTTGGCAAGTAGCCACTATATTCTTTTTTTTTTTTTTGTCGGCAACGATACATTTGTATAACCCAAGAGAAATTGTATTGCAATTCCACTCTTTAAAGCCAGTCTTTTTATTGATTTCTCGTGATTTCTCATATGATCTAAGAGACTAACTGAAGAAGGAAATAAAAGGCCGTGTTGATAGTTGATTTAAGATCTTTTTTTTTTTCCTTTTTTTTTATACTACTTCAATGGTATATTGAACTTATTCTATGTATAAATGTTCTTCCCCTGGTTAATTTTTCTCTCCCATTTTTGGGCAACCTCATGGTTCAAGTAGTACTAGATGAAGGACATATCGTAGCCATGCCCTACCATGATGTGGATTTGGTATTAGTCAATTGTAGTTTAAACATGTTACCATTGACTTTTATGGCATTCTAACCTTTTTTTAAGTTATCAATTAGAAAATCAAAGCCGAAACCTTTTATGGAAATGTATGGCTAAAAATCTTTTATGTTTATCAATCTGTTTGGATGGATAATTTTATAAAAACTTGGACTATAGATCTGTATATTATTAAAATATTTGATTTAATGTTTTAATTAAGAGCGTTTGTAACTGTTTTTAATGTTGTTTTTTGAAAATAATGATAAAATTCCTCCTCTACCCCTCCAACACGCTCCACCCTCTGCCTCCCCCTCCTACCGCCCGCCCCTTTACTTCTCCCCTCCTCCCGCGCACCTGCCACCTTCTTCCCCCTCCTCCTTCTGCTCTTGTCTGCACACCCTCTCCCTCCTCCCCTCCCTTATTTTTGACCCTTCTGGACCAAGATTGCATGAATATAAGACAAAAATAGAGTGAAGTATGAAGAAATTCTAGTGAAAATTCTTGAATTTTTTGCACCAGTTTTTCCTATACACGAAAACTAACAACTAACAAGGCTAACTTGAACAATTTTCAGATGTTGTGCAAGCGGTGGTCAGAAAGACACCTCCAGCTGACTACACATTAATGATCGACTCATTCTCTTTTCTTCTTGAAATGCTCGATAAAACAAATGCAGAGAGTTATAGTTCAAAGATTTTTGAAGCTTCTGGTTACAACTGGTAGAGTTGATTCACTAATCCTCTTTTCAAGACTACTCTTCCCGTTTCATAAGCATATTATCATACAACATTATAATTTTTAATTTCTTAATTTATTTTCCCAATTTCATGAAGATCTAATCATATCTATGTATATGTATATGGACTTCCATTTTCATATATGCTGAAAATTATTCTATTCTATTCTAGGAAATTGCATCTTTACCCACGGGGTGACGTGAATAGAAATGGATTAGGATTCATCTCCTTTTACACGAGTATCCATAACAGTAGTGCCCTTCCTCTGCGCTGGCAGATCAATGCAAACATCGAGTTATTTGTGTATGATCAGATTCGAGGCGAGTACTTAGTTTTCCAAGGTATTTTCCTTAAAGCTTCTGAATTATGTTCTTCTCTATTCTGTTATTATTATTATTCACTTTTTCTTTGGGTAATGTACCATTTTCAAATAATGTGTTTTTCGTGTAGATGTTAGCGGAGAAGCAATACGATTGGATGAAATGAAGAAAGAATGGGGCACTGCCCAATTGCTGGATCTCAAAATTTTTCACGATCCCACAAACGGGTTCCTTCTTGATGACAAATGTGCATTTGGGGTGGAGATTTTGGCCAAAAGATATTCAGGCAGAGGAGAGTATTTGCCTCTGCCTGTGAACATATTCAGTACTTACACTTGGAAAGTGGTCAAATACTCGCAGAGTGAAAAACTTATATATTCTGATGTTTTCGTTATGGGAAATCTAAATTGGTATGTGCATAATTTTATGTCTGTTTATTACTATAATGGTTAAAAATCTGTTCATTTATCACATTTTTACTACTTCAACATCATCGATCCTTTTCAATGCTCATGGTTTCAATAATATCTTCTTCTTTTTGTGTTTGCTTTTGTTTTCCAATAAAATTCCAGGAAGCTGGTTCTTTTTCCGAATGGATACCAGATCCAAGAAGGGAAAAGCATTTCCCTCTCTCTAATGTCAGCTCATGAAGACACTAATTTTAGAATATATGCAGAATACAAATTACGCATAAAGAACCAGATGAATGGCAAAGATTTGGAACGTACAGGTAAACCTATTTATGGTTTTTTTTTTATTGTATTAACATAAGAATTTTATCGGGTCTAGAATTTTTCTTTGATTTAGACTACTTTTTTTTTTTTCCTTTTTTGCAGCTAATCATTTGTTCTCTTATTGCGATTTTGATCGGGGTTGGCCAGCCTTTCACTCTTTGGATGACATTAAAGATTCTTCTAAAGGCTACCTAGTGAAAGATACTCTAATTGTTGAAGCTGAAGTCACTCGTATCTCGACTGTGAATGATTTGTCCTCAAAATGAAAGGGCTGATCAAATAGAGGCATGGATCCACATCTCTTGTTTTAATAAAATCGAAGTGAAATTTGAAATGCGAGCCCGTTAAGTTGTTAAATTATTAAGTATTAAAATCCTAACATTTGAAAGTATTTTGCATTAATTAAGTGATAAGTTGTTCACTTATCACTCATTATTTTGAATAAATTTTGTCTAAATTATTCAGAATCACCTAATTAATTAAAACCTTCTATTATTTGTTATCATATAAGTCAGAACATATTAAAGTTTGAATCTATTAAATTTAATTGTTGAATTGGATTATCAAACAGAAGAAGTGAATGTAGATACATTTTCTCCTTCGGCATGACAAAGTAATGATTTATTAAAACAGGAGTGGAACAAGCAAAATTCAAAGATATAACACTTAATTAATTTTTTTTGTCAAAATAACACTTAATTAATCATTGTGGGCAATTCGTCTTTTCACCGATTCCATCCAAGACACTTGGCCAAAGTCACAGAGAAGGGGGCTGTTTGTTATCTGGCCAAACTTCAGAGTTCATTTGGTAGTTTGGTCAAAACTCAGGGGAGATAAATATAATTAATCCATTCTTTTAAACACACCTAAAGGTTTTTTTCTGTTTTGTTTTAAACATCCCACAAAAATATACCAAAAAGGTACACCCAATTCAAGAAATACCGGTTGTTATAAATAAAAATGTAAATCAACTAGGCAAGAGAATCCAGGCCTTGATTGGGGGCGAATTTCTTAGAATATTATCAAATTTGAAAATTTTCAGAAAATTGGGCGTATCCTGGGAGAATTGCTGAATAAGGGGTCGCCGCAATTAAGAGGTGAGGCTACACCAAAAAAACACTTTTAATTTTCATTTATTTTGGTTTTATGTATTTTGGGTTTAAAAAAAAAAACCCTTCACCGCTCATGAAATGAGAGGCGAAGGAATCTTGCTCAAATGAGCGCGAAGCTTTTTTGTCCTTATGTGTCGAAAGCCGAGCTTACTACCTTTTTTTTCGAATGTAATTTTGGAATTGCAGTAGCGAACTCTTACTATCTTTTTGGAATTACTTTCCTACCTTTTTTTCTTTTTTTTTTTCGAAGCATTCTTACTACCTTTTATTATTTCATATGTAATTTTAATAAGTTATTTAATGTTTAATTTCATATGTAATAAGTTATTTATTATTTCATATGTAATTTTTAATAAGTGTCACCGCTCATTTTAGTTTATTTTTGTTGCGAAGCATTCTTCGTACCTTATTATTTCATATGTAATTTTTAATAAGTTATTTAATGTTTAATAAAAGGCAGCGCTACCAAATTTTTTCCTACCATTTTTACGTAACCTCAAAAATACCCCCAAAAATAGCTAATTCAAATGGAGTACTTCATCTATTTTTTTTTATAGTTTTCTAATTTTTTTAAAAAAATTCATTAATTTCTCTAAACATGAGTTTGATACTAAAAACACTTATAGGCTTTATATATCTCTAAACTTGACTCTTTTATAATTTCTCTAAACTTGACCTATAAACAATTTGGACAATTATAAATGTACTTATTAATTATTTCTAATTAAAATTATAATCTTAATTTCTATATTTTGTCAAATAAGTCTCATGAATTTACTTACAAACTTATCAATTTGCATTTAAAATTCAAAAAAACCATCACGAATAAAAGTAGTATATGTGTGTGCGTGTGAAGAAAGAATAAAGGGTTGCGGAGGATATATTAAATGAAACTACCAATGATATCCTCCTAAGTGACAATAAAGCCCACCCACTGAGGATAAAATCGTCATATCAGATCAGGCGCACCACTCCTCCATCGTCTATAAATACCCCTCTTGGGGTCCAAGACGAGTAACCTTCTCTTCTCTTCCCATATCTTCTCCTCTTTTCTCTTTTTTCTATATCCTAGTTCGTTGCTTACTTCTCTTGCATCACTTAGTATCGACCACGACAAGAAAAAACTCTGCAAGTTCCCACCACTTCAATGGCAGAGGAGTCAAAGGACTTGAGCCTAATGGTGCCTGCAGCTGTTGGCAGTTGTGGTATTCCCGTTAATCTTTCCTGTTGTATAGTTTTGTCAGTGATTTTGCTTTGCCAAGCTTTTTGTCGAAGCATAATTTATTTTATGCTCTATGTGGACTGAGTTTTACGTTGAAACTAAAAGCTTTTTGAAACTAAAAGTTTTACGTTGATCAAGAACATTCACCAAAGAAACCATGTTGTCTGCCTAATTAATAATTTTTATTTTTCACTGATTGAATTTATTTATCTTCATAAATTTTATGGAGGAACTAGCTTCAATTATTCAGTAACGATGTATATGGTCTTTGACAGGTTTTTAGACTAACTGTTTTGAGTGAAAACTCCTCGATTGTAGCCATCAGTGTGATGAAGTACTACTCGAGTCCTGAAACTTCTAGTCCTGAAACTTCTAGTCCTATTCTAGTGTATAAAATCAAATCAACAAAAAAGGAGGAATATGGTAGATCTGAAACTAAGGAGAATATCGAAATTTGATGATCTAGTGTCGCAAATTGGTTTAAAACAATCAAGCTTTCAAGTTTAGTATTGGTTTAATTTAGCTTCCAAGGTCATTGAATCAGTACAAAATAACTTTGGGGTTGTAACATTGATCTCCATCAATGCACCACCCATTGATTTTGGTGCTTTTCTTATCATGATTATGGATTATGCCCCTGTTAAGGTTCTAAGTTCATACCTCACCACAATATCATGGGCCATTAAACTAGCTAGTCTGTTTGCTACCTTTTCTTGACCAACAGCGATCCAAACCTTTCTGTAGTCCCCAAAACTCAGTTCAATTAATGGTAGGAACATTGGTCAGGAATAGTGAGGTCCATAGCTCAACTTTTCAATCTGCCCCTTTCCCTTTTCCCTTTCTCCTTTGAAAAGTCAGTAGTCACTTTTGCAAAATATAAAATGTATGAAAGCATCCATACCTTGCGCCTGGTCACTTGTTTTGCAAGTTAAATGCTATGTTAAACTGTGTCCTTTGCAGAAGAACTGCAAAAATTGATTTACAATCTTTTCTAGCTAATTGGTTTTGCCATACATTGGTTCTTCCTTTTCTAGTCTTTCCAGAGCATGAATTCTTTGTTTGAGTGTAAACAATCAATAATCTACTGTAGTTCAAACAAGTTATCCATAATTGCAATACAGTTTAGAAACCTTTATTTTTTTTTTGCTTTTTTGTTTTAGCTTTCCCTCTCTATTGTAGAAGTAATAAAAGATCAGGTTCCAACACTTTTCACCTTTATCACGTCCCAAGCTTCATATGCAACTACTAGTTGACCATGATAAACTCTCATATTTCCATTAAGAAGATTTATTATCAAAACTCATACCATAGGGCGAGCATTTGTCTTAGAAGTTTTCCAGCACCTAAAAGACATCAGAATCAGAAGGATTGCATGAATAGGAGAATAACATATAGTGATACAAGGACTAACATCTGGTGCACCATTTCAAATTAATTATAGCATTTCTTCTTTACTTTGTTGTTGATTCAAATCAATAAGAAGAAGTAACCTTTCATCTAACTTTGCAGATTTAATGAATGCAGTGGTCAGAAAGGCGCCTCCAGCTCACTATATATTAAAGATTGACTCATACTCGTTTCTTCTTGCAATTTTGAAGATTAAAGGAGCAAGTTTTTACAGTACAGATATTTTTGAAGCTAGTGGTTACAAATGGTTTAGTTGATTCATCTTTTCTCTCAGAGATTATGCCTTTACAAATTATCCTATTAAATGCATCACAAGATTAGTTGGACTTGAAATGGAAACCAGCCACAGAATTTCAGAAGGATAATCATTTCAAAGAATATTTCTTATTCTTTTCAAAGTTTTATAACATTAGTCATCTCTAAATAGTGATTAGGATTAAAAATTCTTACATTGTCAGTGCAAAATGTTTTAAACAACTGGCTTTAGATGCATGCCATATTGTAAATGAAAATTTTGAAATTTGAATAAAGAATGTGTCATGCAGCCATACCCCATAGTGTAAAACAATTTTATGCTGATAGTGTGGAAATGATTAAGCGATAGCAATTATATGTACCTTACTTCTTATGCTCAAACAATTACTTATTTTCACTGGAAGGAGGTTATATTTCTACCCTGATGGTGACAAAGAAAGATATGGAGAAGGATGCATATCTCTTTATGTGAGCATTGAGGATACTAGTGCTTTGCAACCTGGCTGGGAGATTGATGCCAATGTCAGATTTTTTGTATATGATCAGATTCGAGACGAGTACTTAATGTTCCAAGGTTGTGGATTTTCTCAACCATTTCCAATTGTTTTAAATTTTCTAGCTTCTGCATAGCTAAACAATGGTTTTAGTAATGATTTCTTTGTAAATTTTCTTGTATGTACTATGTAGACACAAAACGGTTGCATGAAATTAACAAAGAATGCGGCATTGCCCAATTGCTGGATCTCAGCTATTTCAAGAATCCCACAAATGGCTTCCTTTTTCGTGACAAATGTGTGGTCGGAGTGGAAATTTTTGCAAATATATATACTGGTGTGGGAGAGTGCTTGCCGGCGCCTGAGAAATTCTACTACAACCCCTACACTTGGAAGATCAATGACTATTCTAAGCGTGCAAATGTTCTCTATTCTGAAGTTTTTGTCCGAGGAAACCACCACTGGTCTGAACTCTGTTATTGTTTTTTGTCATCACAAGAACTCACTATTGTACTAATGAAAATTGGGATTTAAAATGGTTTAATTCTACGAGTTCATCTGCAATTTCAGGAAGCTAAGACTTTGTCCCAAAGGAGACTTTGGGCAGGAAGCCAAAAGCCTATCCCTCTATCTGGAACTGGTTGAATCAGAACCTGCTACAAGAATTTACGCAGATTACAAGTTTCAGCTAAAAAACCAGGAAAGCGGAGAAGATTTTGAGCTCACAGGTGAACTTCATGATACTTTGTTGTGTTCAAGATAGATGTTACGTTTATTCAGTTTGAATATATACTACAAAATTTCTGTTTGATTAGACGACTCTGCTTCTTCTTGCAGGTCTTGACGTATTTTCTTCTTCAACCCCTAGTTGGGGGTTTTCTGAATTTCTTTCCATAAATGATGTTGAAGACTCTTCCAAAGGATTCCTCGTTGAAGATGTTTTGATTATTCAAGTCGAAATCATCCATATCTCAGCTGTTAAAAAGTTCTCCTAAGACTGCTTAACATACAGATATGAAAGGGGTAAAACATTGACAATCGGACAGTTCAGGAGTACTGAATACCTCTACTTAGAAGGAAACTCTCTCCAATAGTGTTTAGATTCAATATTCTTTGTTGGAGCAGGCTCAAGTTTTTCATGATTTTTCACTATGCATAATTATCTTCAGTGATTGTACTTCCACCTAATTGGTGGCTTTATCCATTTGGGAGCTTTTTTTTTTTCTTTTTTTTGAGTTCCTTTTCATGTCACCTATAACATTAGTTCAACTGCCCCGAAAAATGATTGAGCTATTGTATATTGCCGAATTCCTGACTCCACCATGATCGGATCATTCGTTTTGTGGTTTGTTATATTTGTAATCATATAAATTTCCAGGGAGGAAAAAAGATTCCTACAGCATGATAGTCCTTTCTTCTTGCCTCATTTTATTATCTAAAGCTTCTATCATCACAACTCAATGAGCTATAGGTATCATTGTGTATCTACTTGCTACACACCATCATATGAATGCTCAAACAATTAATTCTTAGGTGATAAAGAAAAAAAAAAAAGAAACAACAATGTGAACTTCGAATTCTTCGACTATGATAACATTCTAGAAGAGCGGTTAGAGTCTTGTTTCATGTGTGTTTGCGTGTGCATTTTGGTGGGGGTGGGTGGTGGGAGCTTGCAAGATACATTAATTAGATACAACTTATCTCCAAGCGTGAGGAAGTTCTTTATTCTGATGTTATTCTTCAGGAAAATTGCAACTGGTGTGTATTGATTCTTTCTTTTTCTTAAAAAAAAATATCTGTCTTCATATTATTGCTTCATAATTTGTTAATCCCAATTAATTTTTGGGCAATTGGGAGTTTATAATTTCTAATACTAAGTCCAAGGCTTCAATTTTTTTGTCCAAGCTCAGAAGCTTTAGAGCAAGAAGCCATAAGCTTTTCCTCTGTACATCTAGAATTAGCTGAGACAAGAACTGCCTTAAAATATATGCATAATTCAAGCAGTTGAAAAGGACCAAAAGAATGGCAAAGATGTGGAACGTACGGCAGGTAAACTTCATTATATATGTTTAGTATTACTTACTTTTCTGGGGTAATTACCATTGTTATCCCCTTCCTTTTGGTACAATATCCTAATTTAATTGGCTTGACTAAGGATGGCAAGCCACCCGCCCCGCAGGAGGCTAATGGAGCGGGGCAGGGGGAATTTTTTTCCCCCCGCTTAGAAACAGGGCGGGCGCCACCCGCTTTAAAAAAATAAATATATAATATATATATATGTATATGATTATATACAATATATAATTTAATTAGTTACAAACTTATGATAATTATATTATTAGTTATATGTATTATATAATGTATATTAGTATATGTAATATAATTGATATTATCAATTATACTAATAATTATATATGTGTACTAATATAAATTGTTAATTGGTTGTACTAAATTTACTAATATATTTATACTAAATCCCTAATTACATTTAATAAAATAACATTTTTTTCTCAAAAAAAAAGCACAAGTATAATAATGAATTAGTGATTGTATTTGTGCCAAAAATGAAAACTTGACTACTTTAGTTGTATTTATTTCATCATGTTGGATTGTATTCAAATAACTTTTGTTTGATTGTTTTTATAAGTTTTAATTGTGAAATTACAATGAATAATAATTTGATGATGTGTTGATATTTTAGTACTTGATTATTTGCTAAAATTTAACTATAATAAAATTATATAACAAATTTTTATTAGCCCTAGAGGGCACCCGGGGGGCAGGGCGGGGGGAGCAGGGGACGGGGGACGGGTCTGAGGCAGGGGGAATTTGTAGGCAGCGGGCCGAGAGATGGGGGAGGGGTCCCCCGCCCCAACCCCACCTCGTTGCCATCCTTAGGCTTGACCTCTAATTTGGCGAGTCTACTTGGAATACATTTTGAAGACAAAGGGAAAAAAAAATTTTACAGCACTTCATTAGAAAGTGAAACAACAAACTGAGTATTGTTGGGATGGATGTAGGGACCTCGCTTGTGTAAATATATGAAAGGGCAACACTGTCTGGCCACAAATCAGTTTTGATGTATGGCCGATCAGGTGGTTATAAAAGCATGTGTGATAAGGGGAGAGGGGGCAGGGGCATCCATTCTTGAACGGTGTAAGAATTTTTTAACAAATCGTAATTCATTATCAATTACTTGTATATCTTTGTAACAGAGATGTTATATTCAACTACTGTTCATCTGGATCAGTATATGTTAGTTGAGTCAATGTTACGTGACATTTTCTGATTCTTAAATTTTAAATTTTTGCTTTGTTTGCAAAATCCGAACTGTGAACCTTTAGTCATATCTAAATTGATCACCAATTGTCACTGGAGATGGCACGAGGGCAGGAGGAGGAAAGCTTTACGTACTTAAATCACTGCAATCTACTCCTACTGGCTTTATTCTTTTCAGTGATCAGGTGGATGATGTGATCTGACAGCCTAGCAAATCTAACCCTTTTGTCATTATATCTGGCCTATGATGTATTGTAACTAGATTTGCCCATGTCCCTTTGGGTCCTATGTCGAAGAAGGTTGGATACTTCTGAGTTTGGATAAATTGCAGCATGGGGTATTGTGAATAGAGCTGAGTGTGTCTTATGCAGTCAAAGTACTAAATCAGTTGATCACTTCTTGTTTCAGTGCCGGCCATGAATATGGTCTATTTCAGTTATGGGAATGTCGGTCTGAACTAACTACTTGACAAAGTTTATTAGCCAGTCCTATCCTGAAGTTTAACAGACAATCTCAGAATTGAAAATTTTCAGCATTTGCATGTGCTTTACCATTTCAATCTGAACACAAGTTTATCCATCCCGTCAGTACATCTCGAACATGGACCGACCAATTTCCTCGAGTCAAGAGGTACAAATTGCCCCTTGATAAGACCCTCAAATTTAACGTCTCTCAGATCATTCTCCCAAACCTTATTGTCCCCTCGATTGCAGTCGTCTGAGTTTCTTCTATCAATCAGCCTCTGACAAAACAACTTCACAAATTGCTTAGCATAAAAAAATTCCAAATTAAGGAAGATGGACTCAGGTCGGCAAATCAGGAATAAATTATCTATAAGAGTTGAATTGTTTGACTGTGATGAAGATGGTGCTAATGAACAATAGGTGGACAAAGTCAGATCCTCCACCTATCCTCCAGGCTTCTCGACAGAATTAATTTGGTGGTAATTTCTTTAACATCTCCCTGAGCTGGAGAGCCCAATCAGCAGTACCAGAGCTAATACTGTCATCTAAGCGTATCTTGTACTTGCATCTACTTGATGAAGTAGTGGTAGTGGGCAAAGCGTTGAAATATGGGATCTTGTAACCATCTTGCTTAAATGAAACCATGCTTGGAGCGTTAATCGGCCCTCCTTCTAATGCTTGGGGCAAGAATTCTAAGTTCCTAAACTTGATCGTGTTACTTGATATATTGATTCTTCTATCAATGTGGCAGCATATAATACTCAAGTCCTTGAGGTTTGGAAATTTATTTACGAGATCCTGGAAAAAACTGTCTTCACGAATTGTTAGGCCAGTCAAGGTTAGCTTTTTCAGATGCAGACACGAAAGCAACTTCAAATTGAACCGATAGGGACAACGGAGGCTAAAAGATTCAAGGTTCGGTGCTTCGACTTCGACAGCTCTGGTGTCATCACATGTAGAAACAACAAACTCCTTGAGACTATCAAGCATATTTTTCACCGCCTTAATTTTATACAATCCTGAACAGTCAATGAGATGCATGTTTTCGATCAAGGGACAACTCGATAATATGCTTTGCAGGGTAGCTTCATCCATATGTACCTTTTCTAGGGATAATCTCCTGAAACGATAACAACGGATCTTCATTTCACAGGGAATTGACTGCTTCAACTTACACCCCTTAAACAGAAAACTCTGCAAGTGCTTCAGCTTCAAGAATTGTAAAGAATTCAGGCAAAGCATCTTCCTTCCCTTCTTCTTCGTATGAAGTATAACAAAAACGAAGCTCTTTAACTACTACACTGGCTGTTTCAATTTTACCTAGTAACTTTTCTATGAAACAAGATGGATCAGGGAAAGAAAAGCACCACATAGAAAGATGGAGCTGCTGAATGCATACATTATGGAAACGGTATCTCCTCAATGATTTATTTGCATGATCCATCAATTCTAGTCTAATATGCTCAATAGGTAAATGATACTTTTCAGGGTCATTCCTTAGGGCTAGTATTTTACTGCAATCTTTATCATCAAGGTCAAGTTTCAAGACAGGACAAGTTTACCATGCACCATACCATGACTTGGAGAGCAGGCTCATCTGGGCTGCTTCGTTTGTGATTAGAAACGATAGAATGTGTTGAATAATGTCTTCTGGGAGCTCCAATGAATGACCATGACCTCCTCCTACACGAATTTTTCGCCTCCTGCACGAATTTCTCCTAAACAGGAAGTAAGATAATTTGCACTTTATTAAGATTGAGCCGGTGAAGGCTGTTAATGAACTAGGCCGGGATTTTGTGCATTTTTGGATATGGATCTACAGAAGACTTATACTCGGATTGGACCCAATCCGATTGGGTTACCTTTGTGAGCAGGATATGGATCATTAAAATATGCTTCCACCATGCCTACCGGACTCATGCCTAGTATTTTATCAAAACCTGGGGGTTTTGGGGATTCATATAGAGTCATATGAATTATACTTTCAATTATACGTTGTCCCTTTAGGACTGTTTTCTTAGAAGCAGTCCCTTAGGACTCAAGTAACAATTGATATTTTTTTTTTATTCTATTGTGACTGAATGGTTGAACGTACAGGCAAACTTGATTATCTTTAGTACCAGCAACTTTTCTTTGGAGTAATTACAGTTGTTACAGTCCCTTCTTTCTGCTCCTGTGGAACAATGTCGAAGGGCTACATTGTCTGGCCATGAATTGGATTTGATGCATGGATCATCAGGTGTAAAAGAGATAAAATGATATCTATCACCA